GTACATACATATTTGAGAGAGGGACAGAGAGAAGGAGCTTTATGAACAAACAACTCATATTTGTTTCAGTAGCAATATGTCATGTCGCACAAGACAAGTGATATACCTTACAGAAAAACAAAGCTATAGTGAGACTTCAGCAATCACAAGTGGAAGTGTGCCTTTAGAAGAATCGTCACTAGAAGAACAGTGCATGCCACTCCAAATGCAAATTATTGGATACTGCCAGTTTCTTGGAGAAGAAATCAAAGAAGGAAAGGAGTGAATATTGGAAATTGTCATAGCCAAAAAATTATGGAAGAAAACGTTTTTATTTTTCCATTATATACATAAACTCAACTTCACATTTATGTCTCAGAAACTGACAGATATTAAATTCTAGTTTTAAATGTTAAGTGGTTTAATTAGGGCTGTCGCGATAACCGTAATATTGCAAGACAAGTCAACCGCAGAGGATTGCACGTAACCGCAGCAACCGCGATATTCACGTTTTTTTTTTTTTTTTTTATAAGGCTTCTTCTTGTTTAGAACCTCATGCATGTGTATTGAATGTTAAACAAGTTCATAATGATAACAACAAGACTGTTTATCTTGGTGATGTGTAGCCTACAGAGGCTTCACACAGACAGTGAATGAGAGAGATCTGCAGAGCGCGTGCGATTACCTGCGTCTGTCTTTGAAGTCGTGAAAAGGTTGCCGTGTCAAAGGAAAGCGAAATATTTGTCGTATCATCATTTTAACCTTCACGTCACGGGTATTTTCCACAAATGCGCGTCAGCAGCAGCTGGTCAGCATCCCACAGCGCGAGGAAGCCGCGGAAAATAATATCACAGAGTAAGCATCAGCTTCCGCGTTACCCATGCGACGCATTGCTGATCAGTTGAGCCTTGAAAAGTGGAACTCAAAGTTAAAAATAATTAACATCTTGTTTCATTACATCTCTTTTAAGTTACGAATAAGCTTCTTTGAACGTGTTCCGTTGAATGAACGGTTCAAAGTCCGTTGTCATAACAATATGCGCGCTGAGTGAAAGCCTTTCAATCATGCTTTCAATGCGCATATAGACGCTGTTTAGTTTCGGTTATTGGTTAAATGACCTCGTTTTTGTCCACATCATAAACTTTATTTATATAGCAACAAATACTTGTAAATTAAATAAATAAATAAATAAATAAATGGCGGTAATACCGCATATCGCGCTATTGAGCCACTCAACATTACCGCAAGGGAAATTCCATAACCGCGACAGCCCTAGGTTTAATTAGAAAATACTGTTTATCAATGTTGTCAAATAACCCTTAATTCCAATCATAACATATTTAGACCCATTTAAAACAAAAAAATTATATCATATATTCAACTTGATCAGTATATATATACATACTGAGCCTATTTCCAAAAAAGTGGAGTATCCCTTTAAGAACACAGCCCTGCAGTATGAAATTACTTTTTGAGTCTTCAAAGTCAAGTGTAGCGTTAGTTTTGGCACTGGCAGGTCAGCTGACATACTACTCTTCGAATCAGACTGTCATTTATCTTTATTTATGTTATTATTACATTCAATTATTGCCATTGAGAACATTAATGATATCCGCAATACATTTATGTTGGTTCTGTTCTGTTTACCCTGAGGGGGTTATCGCTGCACTCCCTGCCCTTATCCATGCTAGGCTTCATGGACGGGCAGGGAGATCTTGCCCAGAACAAATCCACACCGACAATTCAAACTGTATGCTACTTGTCAAACAGCTTTGACAATAGTGTTCCTGACAGAATTGAATCCAAATAAAACCAACAGTCACAAACATTTTATGAGATATGAGGCCTCTTTTTTAGCTTACTTTAATGATAAATTGTCCACATAACATCTCAGAGGAGATGAAGTAAGCGTCTGAAAAAATTGCATAAGATCTCAAGCAACAGAGAGAAGTGGATTCAAAATCTAATATTATGGCTATGTTAAGCTGCCAAGAGTTGATTTTTCCACAAACAAAGCAATCAAATGTGATTTGTCTTGCTCCGTTGCATTCACTGGCAGCTTCCTGATGCCCCCAAAAAATAACATTCTCTGCTCAAAAGAGACTTATTGGAAATTATAACAATGGTGATTCTTCTTTAGACTTTTTCATTTTTTTACCTAATTCTGCTGGGGCGTATCCCGATCCTCAAACACAAGAATATATATATATATTTTTTAATCATTTCAGTGCACATAGTTTGACTTGTGATGCAGAATCACACTGTGTTCTTTTATTTGGCCAGAACAGACTGAACCTGGTGTCTCCCAGGGGTGTTTTTTCTCCATTACTTATACAACACACCTAATGGAGTAGTTTCCTTGGCTTTAGCTTACTCAGTTGGGGTTTAAAAGACATTTAATATATTCAGCAATACTGTAAATGTTACTGCACTCACTGACACTTTTGGATGAGAACAAAACTTGATGTGAAAATAGCTGGATGGCAGTTTTGAATTTGTTTCATAATTGATTAACTCTGCAACATCGACACCGTTATTGACCTGAATTTAATAAACACTGAAGGACTTGTGCTGAATAATGACACTATTAAACTTCTGTAGAGCTGATTATAATTGAATTACTGTACGCTTCTTTCATAATTTGATGTATTGAACTAAACTGAATTAACACTTACTGACTTGAGCTGAATGATCACACTATTATCTGCTTTATAGTTGAACAGAGTTTGATTCATATCTAATTTACATTCATACTGTTATTAAACTACACTGAATCAACGCTGAATTAAATTGAACTGAACTAATGCAGTGCTTATAGATGAATTCATTTCATGACTGAAGAACATTAATAATGTTATGTTCTTGTTTATTTCTTTGAATATGCTTATAGACTATCTGTATTGCATAAAGCACCATATAAATAAAAGTGATTTGAGTTGACTAGACATCAGATACTGTAAAACAAGGTAAAGTGTAGTCCTGAGGTTCTAACATGGTAAAAAAAAGAACAAATATGATTTATACATCCCCGAGGATGCGAAGCAAAGGATGTACAGTACCTAAAGCATTGTAATGCTTTACTTACTATAGTTTATCTGGTGTTTAGCAATATATCTATAAGCTATATTACAATTGCAGGGGCTGCCTGACACTATTATTGCTGCAGTCTCACAGAGTGTGGTGTTCCCGACTGAACGACAGATGACAATATCTGTATCAATATCAACATCAATGTTTTTATCTTTATAGTCATCTGACTCCTGAGAACACAGTGATGACTACCAGGATTAGAAGACACAATAATTTTCAAGACATTCTGCAGTTTTGTAGATTAACAAAGAAATGTATTTCTCTATTCCGAAATACATTTAATTCAGTTAAAGGTATTAAATACATTACCTTTTTGAATATCAGAATATATATGAAGAGTTCAGATGCAAAAGCCTCTAAATGCCATTTGAAATTTTCTTCTAAAATGACCATTTTTATCAAGCTTGTATATTTAAGTTCAGTAATTTCACTTAAATGGCAATGATAATTACCTATTAATTGTTATTTAAGTGAAATTACTGAACTTAAATATACAAGCTTGATAAAAATGGTCATTTTAGAAGAAAATTTCAAATGGCATTTAGAGGCTTTTGCATCTGAACTCTTCATATATATATATATATATATATATATATATATATAATTATTTTTTTTTGTTGTTGTCATTAGTATTCATTAGCATTTCAAAGCTCACAGAGGTGCTGATAGTGATTAAACCCAAAGTGCTCATGCTGTCCTTTCCCTGGTCTCTGCTCTTGGACTCTAGCCTTTTTCTCTCACTTTAGTGACAAAAAATAAATAAATAAAATAAATGTCCGCAACACTACTTAAAATCCCATAAAGGCAACGTTTGACTCAACTGGGTATTCTTCAGCCTTCTCTCACTTTATCACATTTCCCTTCTCTCTTCTCGTGGTTTTCAGACAATCTAACTAATGCAAGTTAGCATGCTACTCAAATGACGTCAGTTAAACATGGTGAAACAATAACATGCATTCTTTAAACTGAAAAACATTAAACACTTCATGTCTAATTTAAGTTCACTTGTGATAAAGGAGGACAACAAATTCTTGAAAAATGTTTTAACAGTCATTTATCAGTCTGAGATACTGTATTTACTCTGACATGCAGTTCACTGCCTTCAGAAAGAACCAATATGTCATCACCTTCAGATGCATCTGCAGCTATAAACTACACCTCTGTCTTGAAACTGGTGTGTTTATGGGGGTTGGGGGGATAAGGGACAGTTTGTACAGTATAAGAAATCATTATGTCTATTGAATGTCCCCACAAAACATTGGAAACTCAACTTAGCTAATGTAATGTTTATGAGCTGGCATACTCTTTAATTATTTATTTTTTAAAAATAAAGCTGTAACACAGTTTTGATTTAAAATATATTCCCAAATAAAGAGTCAGCATAATCTAGCCAACATGGTGAAATTAATTTGGTTGTCACGTGATGAAAACCAAAGGGGAAAAAACAGCATATCTTCACATTTGTATGACAGGCAAGTTTTAACAAGCTTACTGTAACTTGGCTGTCTGAGAAGATTGTGTCCCCTTGAAATATCGATTAAGTGGTGCACATGCACGTGTATTCCAATAACAAATATTTATTTAAATTAAGTATTTGCATTTTAAAAAGCATTAAATCAAGATATTTGTTGAAAATGGTAGACTACACATGTTTTGAATAGCAAAAAAAAATGTAGTGCGAAAATACGAAAGATGATTACAATTTCTAAGAACTTTAGAACTGAATGTGAGCAACACGAAGATGTCATATAAGTTTTGTAATGCCTATTCATAAAACTAAACGTTCAAACGGAGAAAAAAGCTGGACACTTTGGGTTTATGATTACCAGGTTTTTATCATGATTAATGCCAGATGAAATCAAACTTCCATGCACGTAAAACATAACAGAATGTTACGATACCATAGACTACGTGTAGACAAAAACACTCACCTAACAATGAATTGGCAAAGCCGTACCATACACATCCACCGTCGCCGATGAGCCATCGCCCTTGAGTGCTCGCCGCGAAGCTGAACGGCGTGCCCAAAACGCACACCAGTAGATCACTCAAGCAAATATTCACCAGCAGAAAGTTTATGGGGGACCGCAACACCTTGTAGCGGCAGAAGAGCACGAGAACCAGGAGGTTGTTGAGGAATCCGAAAGTGCCGATGAAGCCCAAGCTCAACGCCACGAGCAGGTGGCCGGTGGGACTGAGAGTGCTATAGGGAGAGGACGCCTCCAAATGTCCCTCCACTGCACTGAGGCACAGCGCGCTGTTCGCCTTCCTGCAGCTGATCACACTTAAGTTGGACACAATCATCGCAATCCGTTCTGGGTGCACATTGAACAAAAAGTCACTGCCTTGTTTTCTGGGGGAAAGCGCAACATTTATAGTACTCTTGCGTTTTGACAACAGAATACAATCCACAGAGAGAAGATAATTATTTGCAGAAGAGTTTAAGTGTTAGAAGAAATCACGACGAGTTTTTTGTTTTGTTTTTTGCAATTGAGCTGAACTTTGTTGCTCGGTTCATCGATTCGGAAGTGGGAAAAAGTTTGGCGTCCCTTTGCTCCACCGTGTGGTGATGATTGCAATCCTCATATGCGGTTGGAACTGTACTGTGTTGATGTTAGTACCTCCTTCTCAGCTGACGTCTGAGCCTGTCTGCTCTTCTGAGGTTTACTGGACACCACATCCAGGTCACAAGGATAATCTGCAGCTCGGCTGTTCTGTATCTGCTCTGTCACTTTTATCTCGTGAGGAATGCTCAGTGTAAGACAGGGAAAAGTTTGAAATCATTTTCTTTATTTGAATTTCCATAACCATTGTTCACACGTTTGACCGCTGTCCAAGGTGCTAAATGTTTATTGCAATGTGAGAATTATTGGCTTCCTGATCATAGCGTCGATTTGTATTAAAGAATAAAACAAAAGTGATGTATTTGTAATGTGTAAAATTAATAAACGGATAATGCCTATAGTCAGTCGAACACGTTTTTTGTTTGCAGCGTATTTTCAGAGGAAGACTAAATTTTGCAGTTACTGAAATGTTGATGTAAGCCCTATTGAAACATATGAAGAGTTCAGATGCAAAAGCCTCTAAGTGCCATTTGAAATTTTCTTCTAAAATGATCATTTTTATCAAGCTTGTATATTTAAGTTCAGTAATTTCACTTAAATGGCAATGAAGATTACCTATTAATTGTTATTTAAGTGAAATTACTGAACTTAAATATACAAGCTTGATAAAAATGGTCATTTTAGAAGAAAATTTCAAATGGCATTTAGAGGCTTTTGCATCTGAACTCTTCATATATACCTCCAAAATAATTAATTTTTACTTCCTTTGGTCGACCTGAAAAAACACATACCTCTTGATATTATGCCCTGATTAAGAGGGTTTGTGCCTGAAAACCACTGAATCATGGCGTAGAAACGTACTCGTTTACTAGCGTAACCTCGGTTCCCTGAGAGTAACTGGAACAAGTATTGCGTCTGCTAGACACTATGGGGAAACTCCTTTTCTTGAGAATGTTAAAGCCTTTATTTTAAAACACAGTGCAGCTGCACAGCCAGCACAATGCATAGCTGTATAGTGTGCCGATTGGCTGGGCTGCGGAACTGGACGAACCTATGGCGAAGCGTCTCGTTGACAGAGCTCTTAGCCTAGTGCTTAGGACTCTTTTGGGAGGTCCCCGGATACATGTTGAGGGGCCATATATGGAGAGTCCACAAGTCAGGATGAGGGCTGCCAGACTGTCCAGTTTGCCTGTGTGAGGAGGTCCTTCCTCAGCGGTATAGGTCAGGGAGCTGTCTCATCAACTTGGGGAACCATGTTTGGGTCTGCCAAAGAGCGGCTATTAGGAGGACTGCACACTTGTTCACCCTGATCCGTTCGATGACCTAAGGTAGCATCGAGACTGGAGGGAATGCGTAAAGAGGAAAGCTGGGCCATTTGTGGGCAACGGCATCCCTGTTCTTTGAAAAGAATGTTGGACAGTGAGAACTGTCTTCTGAGACGAAGAGGTCTACCTCTGCCCTCCCGAAGACACTCCAAATTAAAAGAACTTCCATGTTCGAGAGGAAGATTTCGAGGCAGTTGATAGGCGCTTCTCCGAGCTAGAAAAGAGGCCAGAGGTTGGCCTGTCTTCGTACAGAGCCCCCCAACCTAGGTTGGAGGCGTCCATCAAAATCAACTTCCTCTTCAAGACAAGACCCATGCTTACACCAGACTGGTACCAGCTGGTGTCTTTCCAAGGGTCCAGGGCTTTGATACAGCCATGGTTTATCCTGATGCGCAGGTGGCCAAACCGCCACGCGTGAGCTTCAGCCAGCACTGAAGGGGACCCATATGCAGTAGGCCTAATTGGAGTACTGACGATGAGGCGACCATAAGGCCCAGTGCCCTTTGAAACGTTCTGAGGGGCAGGTAAGAGCCTGCTTTGAATGAAGAAGCTAGCTTTTGAATGGAGAGAGCGCGGTCTAGCATGAGCCAAGCTCTCATCTGAACCGAGTCAATAACTGTTCCCAGAAAGGTTTTACACTTGCTGGGGGACAGTACACTCTTGAATAAATTGATCCTGAGCCCAAGGCATTCTAGATGGCTGAGGAACCAGGATCTGTGGGTTTGTAACAGTCTCAGGGGGGAGAGAGCTGCGTCCATGCATTTCATAAATGTATGAGGTGCCACTGACAGTCCTAATGGTAGGACTGTATAAGCCCGCCCCTTGAAGGCAAATCTAAAGAATGGCCTGTGATGGGGGGATGTAGATTTGAAAATCCTGCTTCCCCCTATTGTTGTTGAATCACGGAAGCTACACCATCTTCTCACCCCATCATCTCTATGCTTCTCCTTTTCTCTCACCCGATCATGCCTTTATGTTTCTCTGAGGTGGTACAGTAAGATTGAGCTTATACATCACAGAGAGACTTCCTTGTAAGGTAGAAAAACAAGTTGCTTATGTTTAATGATGAAATGTATACCCAATGCACATGGTACAATCCACTATCCAAAGAAACTATTTCTCAGTGTACACATTAATGGTATACAAATGGTACATTTGCATCCGTTTAAACATTCCTTTAACATGTACACATTTAATCTATCATCATCATTGGAGCATCTCTGCTAAGTGAACATTGCATTCCTCTAAGCAAAATATACCTCCACCAGCTCTCTGCTCAGCATACAAACATAGTCTAACATCACAAAATACATTATAAAATTATTATGAAAAGGAATAGAGAAAAAATAATAACATTTAACAGTAAAGTTTTAAGTCTTCAGGGGCTATCCGGATGTGAAAGCATCTTTCAGGTCCACTGACAAAAAAAAAAAAAAACCAGTCTCATGGGTGAATCTGCACAAGGATTTGTTTGGTTGTTAGCATCCTGAATTCATTTTGACACATCACGGATTGCTACCCAGGCCTTGGACCGAGTGACTAGGGGCTGAATGAAATTTAGGGGCGGGCCGTCGGGACCTGGCCATCCAGGTGTTTTGAAGAGAAAGAAGCTCTTTTTCTGAATTTTTTTGAGCTTTATTTATTTTTTGCAAGGGTGAACTTAAATGGGCCCCTAGGTTGCCATTGGAAAATTTCCAGCTGCCTGAACTATAGAGGGAGCTGGGGGAAGCACACAAGCTCTCTTCGGGGGTGGTCCAGCCACAGCGAGACTTAACCCCTTTCTCATCCTTCCTGTCCTTGGACTAGGAAGGCTTCCGAGGCTTAGGGTCCAGCATAACTTTAGGCCAGGACCCCTGGTGTTGTGGGAACGGGAAGCCTTTAGCTGGCTGTGCTTCAGTGAAACGCTCAGCAAAGCCCTTCACTGTGGAACCAAAGAGACCAGTGGTAGATATAGGGGAGTCCAAGAAGGCAGTCTTATCTCCATGAGATTGAGCCACAGGTGGCACTCTAGTACTACCAGTCTGGCCATTCTTCTTCCAATGGCCTAAGCGGTGGTCTTCGTAAAAAGAAAGCTAGCCACGAGTGCAGAGAGGAGAGCGGCATGTTCTCGCATTGAGCTGAGTGAGTGCAGCTACTGCCCTGGCATGAAAAGCACTCACTATGCTTTGTCTGAGGCATGTAGAGGCGTTTTGTAACAGTACCGTGAGCTCATTTAGAGAAATTTCCTCTATAAATTGCTTTTATAAAGGATACTATTCGCAGGGAAACGGCAAATCAGCAGATGATGGCATCGAGTCAGGAATACGGCCGCCATATCGCTGCGTTCCACTGCATGGCTTCGTCGATGGCGAGAAGGCTTTGAGCAGAAGAAAATCAGCGAAGAGGTGAGTCATCGCTGAAGGAGATTAAATCTGATTCCTGTGGTGAAATTGGCCACTAATATAGTCAGCAGCCACACCTATTTTGGCGGGATTCGTCAAGCGCGAGGCAAGAAGCGCCCTGATAGGTTTGTGTGTCCTCGCCGCTTCGCCATAGGTTCGTGTTCCCACAGCCCAGCCAATCAGCAAGCTATACAGCTCTGCATTGTGCTGGCTGTGCACCAGCACTGCGTTTTAAAGTAAAGATTTCAATATTCTTGAGAAAAGGAATTTTCCCATAGTGTCTAGCAGACGAAATATGGGAAATTTGGCCCACATAACCCCATCACTTTCCATCTCAACACCTTTCTCCAGCCCCTGTGATTTTCTTGGTTACTTGTGATTCTGTTTTTACCTCAATTTGGATCTCAGGAAAATTTATGATTGGCTGTAAATCCGCACTGACTAAAACAGATGCATGTTGTCCACAAAACAGACTTGTAAGGGGCGAAAAAACAACCAACCCACTGAATTGATATTGGGAGAAGAGACAGTTTAAATACACCCTACTAGGCTGCTGAGGGCTTTGTTTGTTTTCAGACGGATGCAGGAGACAGCAAAGAAAGCTTGTATAAAAGCTTGAGAACACTGTCATTTCTGATTTTAAATGTTGAGTGTTTTACAAAGGAACTTTCATCTGTAAGTAAACTTGGGCTGTTATTTGTGGTGGTGAAAGTATCACAGAGGAACAGGGAGAATGAGATATTTATTGGGTGAAACACTATACGTTTTATTTTTCATTCAGTTAATTAATGATCCTCAGCTACTTCGGACAACACTTACTTGGCTAAGTAAAAGTTTTTCAAAGAATGGGATTCTGGATGTAAATCATTGATCACTGCAAAAACCTTTCAGTAAGGTCTAGAAGTGCCTTGTTCTTCTTTGGCAGTGAATATTGTTTGTCTTTGTGAGATCCAATTAGATCTTCTGCACTGTCTGCTACCCAAGGCAAAGAACAAAACACTAACACCTGCGGTTATAGTCCCTTAGAGAATAATCATGTCTCAAAACATAGCTCATAAAATAAGTTAGTGCTAGTTAAAGAGATTTCCAGTCAATATACAGGGCAATTGAAACTGTTGTAGTACTATTAAAGATTTTTTCAGCCTTGCACATCATGAGGTAAAGTGGTTTATTGTACAGCTTGTTAAAACATTTTCATACTGTAAATTTCTTCTGGTTCAATTAGATGGGAAAAAAAAGCACTTGACAGAAAACAACAGCACAATGTTCTGTACTATAGGCCAATGTTCTGTTTTACTCGGGGTGAAGTTCAATTTGTACTCTAAAAGTGTGGATATGGTCACTGAATGAATACTGTTACCAGAAATGAACAAGGAAGTTTTTGTGACTCGTGCAAT